AAGAGGATGACCAAGATTCAGTTAGGAAAGCAAGATCACCAGTAGATCGGCCTTTACGGAAACCATACTGGCAATCAGAGAGAAGGTTGTGAGCTGATAGATGCTTCATTATCTTCTTGTTAAGGACAGACTCAAAGGCTTTAGAAAGGCAGGAAATCAAAGCTATAGGGCGGTAGTTAGAAGGATTGGAGCGGTCACCCTTTTTAAGGACAGGTTGAATGTGAGCAAACTTCCAGCAAGAAGGATAGGTAGAAGTAGAGAAACACAGACGAAAGAGTTTGACCAGGCAGTGAGCGAGTTCGGAAGCACAGTTTTTGAGAACAATAGGAGGGACTCCATCCGGACCGTAAGCCTTCCGAGAATCAAGACCAGAGAGGGCCTGGAAAACGTCATGATAAAGAATTTTAATTTTAGGGATGAAGTAGTCAGAGGGTGGAGGAGTAGGAGGAATATGCCCAGTATCATCCAAAGTAGAGTTGGTAGCAAAGGTTTGAGCGAAGAGTTCAGCTTTAGAGAAAGAAGAGACAGCTGTGGGGCCATCTGGTTGAATTAAAGGAGGGAAAGATGAAGAAGTAAAATTGTTAGAGATATTATTGGCTAGATGCCAGAAATCACGAGAAGAGTTAGAGTTGGAAAGACTTTGACATTTTCTATTAATGAAAGAGTTTTTAGTAAGTTGGAGAATAGATTTGGCATGATTACGGGCAGAAATATATAAGGCATGAGTTTCAGCAGATGGATGGCTACGATATCGTTTGTGAGCCGCCTCTCTATCATTGACAGCACGAGAACAAGCAGAGTTAAACCAGGGCTTTTTAGCTTTAGTATTAGAGAAAGTATGAGGAATGTATAGCTCCATGCCAGAGACAATCACTTCTGTTATGCGCTCGGCACAAAGAGAAGGATCTCTGACATGGAAGCAATAATCATCCCAAGGAAAATCAGAATAGTACTGCCTCAGGTCCTCCCACTTAGCAGAGTTGAAATGCCAGAAGCACCTCTGCTTAGGCGGGTCCTGAGGCTGCACTGGAGTGATAGGACAGGTAACAGAAATAAGATTG